GTGTTAGCTGAGTGATCTAGCAGATGCAAACTGTCTCCTAGATAACTAAAATAAATGAAAAAAAAAGTTTAAAGAAAAAATTATTTGAAGTGGGCTGCTACTGGTGTGTGAGTCTAGTTTGCCGAATGGGGACATTACTGCCCCCCCTTCTTTGCTCAAGAGGAGATAAATGGGAGTTTCTAAGAAGACTTGAATTTTTTTTTAAAGATTTATTTAATTTTTATTGGAAAGGCGGATATACAGAGAGGAGAGACAGAGAGGAAGGTCTTCCGTCTGATGATTCACTCCCCAAGTGAGCCCAACGGCCAATGCTATGCCGATCTGAAGCCAGGAGCCTCTTCTGGGTGTCCGATGTGGGTGCAGGGTCCCAAAGCCTTGGGCCGTCCTTGACTGCTTTCCCCGGGCACAGGCAGGGAGCTGGAAGGGAAGTGGGGCTGCCGGGATTAGAACCGGTGCCCATATGGGATCCCGGGCGTGCAAGGTGAGGACCTTAACCACTATGCCATAGTGCCGGGCCCAGAAGACTTGAATTCTTAACTTCTGAAACAGTAAATATAGTTTGAAAATTAAACATTCCAAACCCTTATCCTAGAAAGTTTGTATGATACAGGAGAATACAGTCACCTGGTAACAAGTTTCTCCCCTTTCAAGTGGCAATCATGTAGGAAAAATGGGCAATTCACAATTATATTCAAGCTTTTGCAAATTACTTATATATTTCTTAATGATTTAATTATTTGAAGGACAAAGTAAGAGGGGGAGAGAGAGGTTGATTTTTATTTGTTTCATTTTCAAGTGACTGCCGCTGACACTGGAGACTGGGTCAAATTCAGGTCTAGAGCCAGGAACTCCATCCGGGTCTCCTGTGTGCAGGCAGCGACCCAGATCCTTGTGCTGTTTGCTGCTTCCCAGGCACGTGAGCAGGGCGCTGAACTCGAACCAGCTGTTGTGTGTGGATGTTGGTGGCAACTTCACCCACTGTAGCGCAACACCCAGGCTTCTTTATGTATTCTGCATCTTTTTTTTTTTTTAAGATTGATTTTTATTCACAAGATTTACAGAGAGGAGAAACAGATCTTGTATCCACTAGTTCACTCCCAAGTGGCTGGAGCTAAGCTGACTGAAGCCAGGAGCTTCTTCCGGGTCCCCCACCTAGGTACAGGGTTTCAAGGCTTTGCAGCATCCTCCATGGCTTTCCTAAGCCAGAAGCAGGGAGCTGGATTAGAAGTAGAGCAGCTGGGCCAGGACCTGGCGCCAGTATGGGATGCTGGCAACTGCAGACGGAGGACTAGTCGCTATATCACCCGGCCAACGCCGCTCCCTCTGTTTATTTTAATGGAACTTATTAATGTGTTCTTTCAGCAGAAAAGTTATTGCCTTATTAAAGATGAGTTTATGCGTTAAGAAGGTTTACTTTTTTCTGACATATTTATTGCAATTTTTTCCCAATGTAGTTGTCTTTTAGCTAGGCTTTTGTGCGTATTTTATATGTAGATGTTCTTAAGGTTTCCTGTATTTGTTCTTACTCAGAATACCCCTCTCTTCTGAGCTCTCATGAAAGCGTTCTCTGTATTATGGTCTCATTTTTTACTTGTGACTGTTTCAGTCCATCTGGAATTAAGTTTGCTCAGGGTGAGGCTCTTTCTACTCAGTTTTTAAGCAGCGGTATTCATTGGTTAGGTAATGGTTTTGTAATGCTGTTTGTGATACTGCTTGTATTTCACATAGAATGGTACTCAAAGGACGTGCATAGCTGGGATGTGTTAGGTTCATGACATCCTTCCATCATCAGGCTATGTATGTCCTGTTTGTCCACTTGGGCTGTTTCCAGTGCTTATTATTTTCTTTTTTTTTTTTTTAAGTTTTGGCACATTTTACAACAGATTCCTGACTTCCCATGAGTCATGTTTAATCTGTACACATAAATTGTGTGGCTTGCTCATGTTGTAAAGTTTTTAAAAATTTGTTACGATCATGGAAAGATCATTAGGTTTCTCAGCTCTTGCAGGGAAGTCAGAGGAGACTGACTTGCAGGATCTTGGGCTGTTTGCTCCCGGGTTCCTGCTGGGTGCCACCTGCAGCCACTGGCCTTGAGAGTTGTCAGGGTCTCACCCATTTGTAGAGCCTTTCTCAGCCCACTTCATTCCTCATCTGCTTCCCTTGTTGGAGCTCGTGATGTCTCGTTTCTTCTCTCTTCTTGGTAAGAAAATGTTTTCTGTTGAATTTAACACGATCCTTGGTGGTACTTTGGGGATGCTGCTGCTTAATTTATATTGTAATATTGTGTATGTAAAGTTACTTAAAAAAGGCATGGGAAAATAGAATCAAAAGGTAAGTTGATTTTTGGCTGTAGAATTTTTTTTTTAAATCCATGCGTCATTTTTTAATAGTGCATATACTTCCTGAGCTTTCTGAAGACCTCCTATATCTCCTGGAATATGCTCCATTTTGTGTTGAAAGCTACCTGAGTGAAGTTGCTATAGCATTTGTATTTCAGGGTAAGGAGCCACGTGAGCACCGAGGAGAACAAGATAATATTCTAGAACGAATGTAAGAAGACATAATTCTTGAAGTCTTAGCATTCCAAATCCAAACACAGTAGCAATTGTTTAATACCATGTATGAACAAACGCGTATCTATTCTCCTTGGTGGGTGTGCTGTTCATCCCTGGCTGGATTCTTTCTTTACAAAGCCTGGATGGGGCTGTTCTACCCCCGTTCCCCTCGTGTCCCACGTGTCCATTTCATGCTGTTTGCTGAGTGTGCTGGGCGTGTTGGATGCTAGGTTCAGCATCTCTTGCTCCTTTGTCCTTTTGTGTGATTGAGATGAAAACAGATAAGGGAGAGGGTGAGCGTTTGCTGCCCTGTGCTCGTGCTTTGAGGTCCACACTGGGCCGTGGCCTCTGTTCCTGTTGTGTGGAAAGCTGAGGAATTGACGCTCTGTGGATGCCAGCATCCAGTGCCAAGTACACGGAGGCATCTGACCAGACCTGGGGCTAGCAGCTTCCAAAGCCGGAATCCCACCTGCTGTATCCCTGGTTTTGTAGAAATGGTGGGCTGTTTGTTTCAGTTTTGTTTTCTGGTCATCATTAAAATAATTGATGGAGGACACAATGATGATGAAAAGCAGAGAAGAAAATAAATTTATAATGGTAACATCTTAGACTAAAAAATTGTAACCCCCCCCCAAACCAGAAAGGTGTTTGAGTTTGAAGAAGAGGTGATGATGATGATGATGATGGATGAAGGAGGTTAAAGCTCTTTTTTTCACAGAATAATTGCTCCGACTATAGGCTCATGAGGATTTTAAGATTGGATCTCTGAAAGAGCACAAAAAAGAAAAAAAAATCCCTGTTATTTTGGAAAAGACAACTAGATTATATGTGCAGCCAGTTGATAAATTAGACTTGTGTTGCTAGAGACCGGTTCCCAAGTCTCTTCCAGCAGACCCCTAAGGAGTCGCTGTATAGTTGTGACTCCCCTTAAAACCCTCTGGTACGGTCTTAGGGGCGGTCCTTTTTTCAGCTCTCCCTCCCTTTATCTTCAACCTTGAGGCAGGAAAAAGGCTACTTGGGAAAGTTGAGCAAGAGACACATACGGGGTAATGGGAGAATGTGAGAAAAAGCAATGGTGAGCCTTCAGCAGCCTTCAAGTGGTCTAGATACGATCATAGCCAGATGGCCTGCACACTTGGTGATTTCGAAGGCCTGTTGAAGGCCCCTCCTTCGGTAGGATTTCCAGCCCCCATTATCTCCAAAGCCTTGAGTCACAGCCTCAAAATCTGAGCTTAGATTTTAGCCTGCATTTACCCTCTGAGGAGGAATCCTTTGCTGTCTTAGCCTTTGCTGTTGCACTTTTAGTTGGAGTAGGCGTCACTCAGTGCGTTTTTGGAGGCTCAAAGGAACCTGCACCTGGTCCTTGCCTCCTTTTCTGCTCAGGACTCCCACAGCAGGGGGTTTAACTTCAGGTCTGTAGGTGTGCCGGCCCAGGGAGCTGGCATACTGGCCCAGGTTTCTGAAACGACAGTGTGGAGTCCCCTTCTAGTAGAAAGTGGAATGAAGACACTACTCAAGAAGGACTAGCACTCTTCTGTTGAAATCTTCACTTAGAAAATTGTGCCAGACAAGGGCCAGAATAGTTTACCTTCCCACTCCCCACCCCCCCCTTTCTTTTTAAAGTTCTTTTTGGCTTTAGAAAATAGACATTGAAAAAAGGCGGGTTCAATGGATGCTTCTTTCTGGGAGGTGGTGGGAGTTTAAGGGAACCTGAAGTTCATGGAAATTTTAGGACTCAGTGTTCTAGAGATGCTCAGAATTGTTGATGGAGAGGCCGTCTTTTCTGGATTCAAAGTCCTGGTTGTTTTCTCAGAAAGCTGCTGTAGCCAAAGAGGAGGTCAGGCCAGCTCCGAGCTCTGTAGCCAGAGGTCTTGGAGTGGCAGGATCCGTCTAGCACCTGTGGGTCTACTGGTGCTGAATTCTGAGTGGTGTCGTGGAAACCCCTGGAAGCTCTGGGAATGTGGCTGACATTTCTGCTTGTAGGATCTTGGGATGGTAGTCACCTTGCACCATGGCGGAAGATCTTTCCTGAGACGTTCTTCCCTCTGTGATTATTATGTGTGTGTATTTTTAACTCTGGGAGAAAACTCAGTTTTAACTGAATTCCATTTCTTTGGCGAATCTAGAGCCCTTTCCTAAGCCCTCTGTTTTTCCCAGTAAGCATTGTCTGTCGATGTGCATCAAGTGGCGTGGCATTCCTTCTTGAGACTAAGAAAAACTTGAAAAATAACAGGAATGCAGCTTCCCCTATCGTGTTAATCCTCACGCTCCCCTGGTCCTGGGTCGCCCCACATGGTCTGGGTACAGATATATTTTCAAAGGCCTTCATCACATTCGCAGTGTGTTTTTATTTTCAGACACTTTGCCTACTATGGGATTCCCAGTGGATTGATTGCTTGAGTGATTTTTCTCTATTTGGTCATTATGTGTTTTTCTGGTTTGTAGGAAGAAAAAAAGAAGTTTGACAAGGAGACAGAGAAGAATTACAGCTTAATCGATAAACATCTGAACTTATCAGCCAAAAAGAAGGACTCCCATTTGCAAGAGGTATTTTAATGTTCTTGTGAATGTGTTTGCAGCATTCAATAAGTGTGTGTGGTGTGTGTTTGCGGGGGGGAGGGGTAAATATGCTTTCAGAAAAACGAACTGGGCATTTGTTGCCATCCAGATGGCTTTACCGCTGGTTGGGATGCCTGCATACAAATGGGGGTACCTGGATTGGGTTTTGGGTTCTCTGCTTATGCTCCATCTTTCTCTTAAGGCATGTGGGAGGCACAGATGATGGTCCAGTTAGTGGGGTGCCACAGCCCGCTGGAGACATGCTTGGCCTCATCCAACCCCAGCAATTGTGGCTGTTTGCAAAGTAAACCAGTGGGTGGAAGATCTTTGTCATTTAACATTTGATAAAATAGTGTTCAATTGAGGTTCTCTCTGCTGATTCAATGCCTTGGGCCATCACTGCCCCCCCCCCCGGGGGGGGTGCTGCTTGGTGGGAAGAGCAGACTTGGGCTGGCACCCTGTGGTGTGGGCTACGTGGGTCAAGGGCATCTTAGCCACCAGGTCCTCACCCCAGCCCTGTGCTTCACTGGTGAAGATTTTTAGTTTGGGGTTTTGTAGGAACAGGAAAGAAATCACCAAGTACTGTCATTAGTTAGGAAAAAGGATTTCTTGTGAAACAAGCCACAGTAGTGAGCACCTGTTACAGTGGTTAAATTAGATACAGTTCATAGAGGTAGAATGTTGATTGTGAGTTTATTCAGAGGGATGTTAGTTGTAGCAAGCAATACTGAACAGCATATTTGCAAGAACACATCCATCAGTTGACTTTCTTTCTCACCTGTTTTTAATTTTGAAGATTTTACTTTTTTTGTGTTTTGGAAAGAGAGATTTGCACAGAGAGAGAGAGAGAGAGAGAGAGAGAGAGAGAGAGAGAGAGATCTTCCGTCTGCTGGTTTACTTCCCAAATGGCCACAATGGCTAGAGCTGAGCAGACCTGAAGCCAGGAGCCTCTTCCAGGTCTCCCATGTGGGTACAGGTCCCAAGGCTTTGGGCCGTCCTTCGCTGCTTTCCCAGGCCATAAGCACAGAGCTGGAGTAGCAGGGATATGAACCAGTGCCCTCATGGGGGTCTGGCACTTGCTAAGTCTGCTTACTCCTCCTCACCATCATTTTGGGCTGCCAGCTGTCACTTTTTGTAGCCTCACCCTCTGTGCTGCCAGCTTGGTATCTTATCCTGCTCTCATTCTGAAATCTCTGGAGTCACCCAGGGTGCTTCCACCTTCAGGGACCACCCTGCCCGCTGGCTTCATCTTCTCCTCAGCAGAGTTGATGGGGAGGGGAGGAGGGGGCTGGGGGTCGTTCCTTCCCACCTCCATGACTGCACAGTTGTGCTGCTGAGATGGTTGCCTGCAGAGGCGCCAGGGTCTGCGAGCCCCTTTCTGATCTGCATCCCACTGCACCCAGGTCAGCCTTACTGTCCCTGGGCCAGGGCTTTGCACCACATCTTCCTTCTGTTAAAGATGCAGATCCGGGCCCGGCGCGGTGGCGCAAGTGGTTAAAGGTCCTCGCCTCGCACGCCCGGGATCCCATATGGGCGCCGGTTCTAGTCCCGGCAGCCCCGCTTCCCTTCCAGCTCCCTGCCTGTGGCCTGGGAAAGCAGTCGAGGACGGCCCAAGGCTTTGGGAACCTGCGCCTGCGTGGGAGACCCGGAAGAGGCTCCTGGCTTCGGATCGGCATAGTATCGGCCCGTTGCGCTCACTTGGGGAGTGAATCATCGGACGGAAGATCTTCCTCTCTGTCTCTCCTCTCTGTATATCCGCCTTTCCAATGAAAAAAAATAATAAAAATAAATCTTTAAAAAAAAAAAAAAAAAAAAGATGCAGATCCGCAGGCCTCATTTGTTCCACAGTCTTCCCGATGCTCCTTCCTTGGAGGGCTACCAAACCAAGAAGGTTTTCCTGGCTGCCGATTCGGTTCAGTCTTGCAGCTGTGGGAACATCACGCCTGTGTTTGTTGCGTGACCTGTTCCTCTCACGTGCAAGGTTCTTGCAACCAGCAGTCCCTGTTGGGGTAGGTGCTTAATGTACTTGTACCAAGTGACCACTTGCCATGATGTTTGTCTGGTGAGTGGCAGCTTTGTGGGTTCTGAAGGTGGCTGAACTTCCTAGCAGACCTCTCAGGAGATCCTGAAGAGGGAGAAATTCCGTTCCCTTGTGAAGGGCGCTTTCCCGTCTGGCAGATTCCCTCTCGGAGCAGCCTTCTCTTGGAAGAGTGCAGGCTTGGAGGATGCTCCGAGGGAAGGATGCAGTGTGGCTTGTCAGTCTTTGCTAGGCACCATTTAATGCCGGTTGGTTTGAGTTGCTTAAGAGAGCGGTAGGGGTTACTGGAATACTGCTGAGCAGAGGCATAGGGACTTGTACATTCAGTCCCTCCTCTGGATTCAGACCAAAATCCCCAGAAATTGTGGCCTGTAATAGACCGGTTACTTTGGTCATCTATTACCCTCGGCTGCTACAGCTCTGTGTTTACTGGACATAATAGTGTCTTCCTTGATCCGATTTCCTAAATTCTTAATGTTTGTGCTATAGCAGATGCTGGATTTTTTGAGAAAAATGGCATGTCTTTAGATTTTGGAAGTGTTAATTTTTTCCTGAACAGCCAGATAATAACTTCATGACCCATCTGGGCATGCAGGTCCATCTTTCGAGTAAATAAACATTGATCTTCTGCTTTATCCTTACTCATATTTGCAGCAGGAATGGTCAGAAATTAGGTAAGAATCTAGAGAAACTGCGTGCTTGTTAAGAGCGAGTGCCTGTTGGGCTCACGTGGAGAGGAGAGTGATTGCCTTTGGACTTGATGAGGTTGAGGGGTGTTGGGGACTCTGGCTCTAGGTGCTGTCGACGACGACGACGACGCTGGGAGTGGTTTAATCATCGCACTGTTGCCAGACCTTCACCTCTGCGGGGTGCTCCGCGCACTGTGGGGGGGGGGGGGCTGGAGTGTCAGGACTGATCAGGGAGAGAACTTAACGGCTAGCCCCCCTGGGTAAATCTGACTGGTGTGACTTTTGTGGGGGAGCCTTTCCTGGTGAACACGAAGTCACCTTTCACAGCTTCCGTCTTCATCCTGTTCTGCTGGGAGTTGTGTCCGTCAGTCTTGGAGGCCGGAGCAGTTTGGAGGGATGAGGACTGGTGTTTACAAAGCCTCTGTGTAAAAGGCAGAAGGAGAGCGCTGTTGGCTGGTTCTTTCTCCCCAGTGCTTGCACATGGCTGGGTTTGAGCCAGGGCAGAGCGGCAGTCAGGAACTGGAGCCAGCTTTCTCAGGGGCGTTGGCGGGGGGCACCCAGCGACCCGAGTTGTCCCTGCTTGCGCAGGGCATGCGATAGTGGGCAGCTCGAGTCAGAAGCAGAACTCAGTGCTGAGCCCGGGCTCTGAGTGGGCCTGGGGCGTCTGACCCGTTCGGCCAGCTGCCCACCCTGGTTTCCTAACTTGTTGAGGGGCTTGCGTTCTGCTGGACGTAGAGGCTGCCCTGTGTTACACTCCCACCAGGGGTGCAGGAGCGTTCGGTGCCTTGGCTTCCTCGCCAACACTTACCTTTTCTTCTCAGAGAGCGGGCATCCTCCTGGGTTGTGAGGTGGTAGGCTCTTCCTTGTGGGTTTCATTTGTGTTTCCCTAGTGATGAGTGCCATCAGACATCTTTGCTGCGCATCATGACCATTTTCTATCCCCGCCCGGGCAAAGGCTAACTACTTACCAGTAAACCTGGCTCAGTTGGAGTGCTGACGCACGGTGCCTGTGGGGTGGTTGCTGGGGCGTGTCGGCTGTGTGTCCATCCTAGGCTGCTGGGTCTTGGTCACCATATTCAGCGGTGGTGTTCCGGGTGAGCTGTGGTTTGGAGTCAGCAAATGCGGATCTGATCGTTGAAAAGAGTAACGTGGGAATGTTGCCAAGCCTCACTTGCAGCACGCTGAGTGCAGTGAATGAGAGGAGGGCATGAATGGCCAAGCTACAGAGGGCTGCTCCCGCAGCTATGCTGAGCCCTGCGCTGCCTGGTGAGATAAGCAGGGAGCCTTCTGGGGACTATTATCCTGCCCCCTGGGCGGCCCCTTTGCCCCCTGGGCAGCTGACCTAGCGAGGTTTTAGGAGTGTGACCTGTGTGTCCTGCCCTGCTTCCTCCACCTGCCGCCCTGGAGCTCTGCGGGCTTGGGGGCTGGGCTCCCCCGTCCCTTCTCTTAGGCTGATGGTGTGGTTTAGAGTCCCTGTGGTGGTTCCAGCCTTGGCTGGTGGTTGTGGTTGGGGATGAGATTTTCCACAAAGAGTTCAGTTTCTTGAATGCTGGGAGTCCTTTGTCAGCGTGGAGGCCACGGGACACAAAGTGTTCTAGTAAAAATTTTAGAATATTGCATGCTCCCAGGCACCTGTTGCTTGAATTTGCTGCTGCAGCAATAAAGCAGGCATGGGGGGCACGTGAGTGAAGGTCGTGGCCACGTTCAAGACAGCACCATCTGCAGGAGGGTGAGCTCGGACACGGAGCTTGCATCTCCCCATCTCCCGGCTGACTCACCTCACTGGTTTTCTCGCAGGCAGACATCCAAGTCGAGCAGAACCGGCAGCACTTCTATGAACTGTCTCTTGAATATGTTTGTAAGCTCCAGGAGATCCAAGAAAGAAAGAAGTTTGAGTTTGTGGAGCCTGTGAGTATCGAATGGGCAAGTTATTTACCAGTAAAGTTGTATGATGTGGCAGAAATCCTTGTCTTCCCAGTTCTCCTGTCTGCTGTCACTAGACTGATGGATCAGTGGGAAGGGCGAGGCAGACGGCCCAGGGGGCCAGGGGCTGCCTCTGCATCTTTTCTGCACAGCATGGTGTAATGAATGTTTTTTCCACTGTTCCATGGTCTTCAGGACTGCCTTGGGAACCATTTTTTTTTCTGTTGGTGCTGTAGGTCCACTCCTTGAAAAACGCCTCAAAGGATTTATAGTACATGAGTGAGAATGGTAATGTTTCTAGAATAATCTTTTCGCAGCTCTGTTTTTGAACCAACTGTACCAGTTCAAACTTGGGCATAGTTATTATTCTCATTTTTACAGATACTTGCTTGAAAGGCCAAGTTACAGGGAGGGAGGTGGAGGAGAAAAAGAAATCAGTTGATCTTCTGCCCCCTGGCTCACTTCTCAGAAGGCTGCGAGGCAGGTGTGGGCCTGGTCAGAGACGGAGAGCAATCTGCAGGTCTCCCGCAGGGGTGGTGCGTTAGAGGGAGCTGGATGGGCAGTGGAGCTGCCGGGGCTGGAGCTGGTGTTCTAAAGGGGTACCAGCGCTGCAGGCTGTGTCTTAACGCACTGAGCCGCAGTGCTGAGTCCTGGGACGATGATTTGGAATGTAGAGACTGCCGAGTATAACTTTGGAAGCAGTCTTCTAAGTTCCTGGATTTCTTTCTAAGCTATGTAGGAAGTGTTATTTTGTTTGATCTCTAATAACTTTAGTTATTTATTTTGAAATATTATTTTGAATTGGAATGTAAAGGATCCTTCAAGCTGCAGGTTTTCACCCCCCCCCCCCAAAAAAAAAAAGATCTGGAATGATGAATTCAGTTCAACTTTAATACAGACTTAGAATTAACTTCCATTTTAATGTAGATATTATTTTTCCTAAAAAGCCCTACTGAAGTATGGCTCACAAATTACATAGTTTGCCCTTTGTAGAGATGATTTTGAGAACCCACCGAGTAAACAAGGGCAGTTAATGAAAACAATCAGGATTCCTGGAGCAGCAATACAGTTGGAGCAGCAGAACTGACCTAAATGAAGCAATAAGAAAACTCAGACGTGCTCATCCCCTCGCTGCACAAGGTCGCAGGGCGAGGAGGTGTTCTTGCTCCCTGTTAGCGGCGAGGGGATGGCTCCAGGGACGGAACGCTCAGCTGGCAGTCGAGGTCCAGCGGAGCGCGAACCAGCACTGCAGTGTGTCGTGGTCAGGGTTCCTTGCAGAGGACCAACACACGTGTCGACATGGTCCCATGGCTCTGACTTAGGAACAGCAGCCTTGATTGTGAAGACCTGGACTGCTGGGAATGCCTGCAGCTTCAGTGGCGTGTCAGTCAGGGCAGGGCCATGCGGGGGGCGTGACCTGGTGACTCTGTGCTAATGTTTTCTTTTTTTCTTCTTGCTTTTAGATGCTGTCGTTTTTTCAGGGAATGTTTACTTTTTATCATCAGGGCCATGAGCTTGCCAAAGACTTCAATCACTACAAAATGGAACTGCAGATCAACATTCAGAACGTAAGAAAATGCAAGGCTTTTCGGTATAAAAGCAATATATTCGAAATGTGTATTCTACATTGATTTGGTGTGTAAAGATTAAGACCAGATCGAGCTCTTAGTACTGAGAAGGTGAGGGTTTGGTGCCACCTTCTGGCCAATCGTGGTGTGCCATGCCAATGCGGGAGCCTGAGGAAATGGCGCCACCTGGCGGCCGTTCCTGCACCAATGGGACCATTCCAAGAGGAGTTTTGTCTTCACTGGGTCAGCAGTGCGGGAGCCGGATCAAGAGTAAAGGCACTTGAGATTTAGGCATTTAAATAGTGAGAAATTTTCTGTTCACTCTGAATTTTCCTGCCAGGTAAGTTTGATGTGGCGGTGTTCCCAGTGGCTAACAGTGTTCCTTGTGGAAAACGGATACCTTCTCTGGGGTTTGGATAAGCAGCTTTAGGAGAGCTGGACTGGTGGAGCACAGCTGGCTCCTGCATGCGGCTTTGTCCCGGTGGGGAGGGGAGTGTCCCCCGTGGACGTGTGCAGCGTCCTTGGGGACCTGTCGGAAATCCACTGTGACAGGTGTGCCTGAGTCACACGTGTGCCCGGGGAGCACTGCGCTGTCAGCTGCCTGCACGTCATTGCCTGCAGGAGCCACAACTTGTGTGGGTTTGCTCCCATGTCAGTGGCCTTGGGAATAAAGCTTGCGCGTAGGTGCAGACTGCTGCTCGTCAGCTCTAAATTGTTCCAAAGGTAGAGGGATATTTCATCGAATCATGTCGTTTCTCACAGCACTTGCTGAGGGCCACAGAATGAAGTGCCGTAAAAACATTAAAGCCTTAGTTTTGTGTTTAAATCCTCCGCTGATTCTCGGAGTAGCTTGGGGGGGGGGGTGGATTCTCTTTCTGTGTCTGGCCCTTGCGAAGCATGTGGCTGCCTTGGGGAGAACCTGCAGGCAGGACAATGCATGAAAGTCCTGCAGGGGCTGGTGCTCCGCTGGGGCAGGTGGAGCCGGCGTCCGCAGGAGCTGGAGCCGGCGTCTGCAGGAGCTGGTGTGTGTCCGGCTCCTCATCTTCTGCTCTAGCGCCCATGGATGGCCTGGGAGAGGCCGTGGAAGATGACCTAAGGACTGGGGTCCTTCTCAGCCGTGTGGGAGACCCGATGGCGCGCCTGGCTCCTGCTGCTGGCCTGGCACAGTCCTGGCCATTATAGCCAGTTGGACAGAGCAGACCTGGTAGTTGAAGCTGATGTGTATCCCCCTCTGTATTTCTGTCAAGTAAATACATCTTTTAAACAAACACTTGAGGGCCCAGCGCAGTAACCTAGCAGCTAAAGTCCTTGTCTTAAACATGCCAGGATCTCGTATGGGTGCTGGTTCTAATCCTGGCCAGCCCCACTTCCCATCCTGCTTGTGGCCTGGGAAAGCAGTTGAGGAGGGTCCAAACTCTTGGGATCCTGCACCCGCATGGGAGACCCAGAAGAAGCTCCTGGCTCCTGGCTTCAGATATGCTCAGCTCCAGCCGTTGTGGCTGCTTAGGGAGTGAATCATTGCATGGAAGATCTTCCTCTATGTCTCTTCTAAGTATCTGGCTTTCCAATAAAAATAAAATAAATCTTAAACACTTAAACAGTTGGTATCAAATGAATTAAAATATAAATTTATTTTAGTGAAATAAATGTTTTTATTATTATTATTATTATTTTTTTATTGGAAAGGCGGATATACAGAGAGGAGAGACAGAGAGGAAGATCTTCCATTCGATGATTCACTCCCCAAGTGAGCGCAACGGCCAATGCTATGCTGATCTGAAGCCAGGAGCCTCTTCTGGGTCTCCGATGCGGGTGCAGGGTCCCAAATCTTTGGGCCGTCCTCGACTGCTTCCCCGGGCCACAGGCAGGGAGCTGGAAGGGAAGCGGGGCTGCCGGGATAGAACCTGCGTCCATATGGGATCCCGGGCATGCAAGGCGAGGACCTTAACCACTGCGCCACCACGCCGGGCCCCAAGTGAAATAAATGTTTTAAAATCTATGTAGTATAGGGGTTCATCAGAAAGCTCCTGAAAAATCTGTATCAGCAGAGTATATAAGCAAAAATATAAGGATTTCAGAATTGTTTTGTGCCGGAATAAGCTCAACTTTTAAAAAACGTTTGTTTATTTCAAAGGCGAGGTTCTGGGGTGTGGCAGAGTGAGCGAGCACTTCACACAGTGCTTGGTTCCTCAGATGAGTGCAGTGTGGGGGGAGGCCAGGTCACGGCCGGAGTGTGGGGCTCTGGGTCCCCCAGGAGGGTGGCGGGGCCAAGCCCCTGGGTTGTCTTTCACTGCCTTCCCCTGTGCACGGGCGGGGAGCTGGATCGGAGACGCAGGAGCTGGGACTGCAACCAGTGCTCAGATGGATGCCAGACTTCTGCTGTGTCACCGTTAACTTTTTTTTTTAAGATTTATTTATTTTTTATTACAAAGTCAGATATACAGAGAGGAGAGACAGAGAGGAAGATCTTCCATCTGATGATTCACTCCCCAAGTGAGCGCAATGGCCGATGCTATGCCGATCCAGAGCCAGGAGCCAGGAACTTCTTCCGGGTCTCCGATGCGGGTGCAGGGTCCCAAGGCTTTGGGCCGTCCTCGACTGCTTTCCCAGGCCACAAGCAGGATGGGGAGCTGGATGGGAAGTGGAGCTGCCGGGATTAGAACCGGCACCCATATGGGATCCTGGCGTGTTCAAGGCGAGGACTTTAGCTGCTAGGCCACGCCGCCAGGCCCCAAACTTAACTTTTAATTCCATTTTTCCTGCATAAACCTTTTGAAGTGTCCATGTGAAATGAAACCTTTGAGCTTCTTATGAAAACATGCCCAGAAGTGTCAAGGTAGAGACGGAGGACTTGGCGGGTCCCAGCAGTGGACCTGCACCCCGGCCCTGCACTGGGTCCCCCAGCTGGGCCTCCTGCTGCCTGGAGGCGGTGTGGCCCAGCTGCCTCCTGGGCCTGGACCGGGGTCGTTTGGAGAGAGCTGCAGGTGGGCGTGGCTGCTGCCCAGTCCCATGGCCAGCCTGCGGGCTGGCTGTCACTTGCAGTGTGTCGCACGGAGGCTGGACGGCGTCCATTTCCAGGACGGAAGTGGACAGACACTGGTTTGCTGTGGACGCTCTGCAACCTGAGGCGTCTCCTGCGGTTTCACCCCGCACCCCTCTGGGCTGGGGTGGGTCTTCCTGTTAGCCTGGTCTTCTCGCCCTCTTTGCCAACCCTTCCCCACTCTGGGGTCCTCTGTGCTGTCCTTTGAGCTTCTAGCGCCTTTGAAGCTCCCATCGTCCCGTCTTGGTCGTCTGAGGTGCCTTGGTTATGCTGTAATCGACTCATTTCTTGGTCTTTCATGTCATTCTTCAGTGATGTCAGCTTTTAGTGTAATGGGGAAAAATGCCGGCTGCACCGAGCTACCGATGTCTGGCGGGAAAAATAACTCCAGCTGTGTTTCTATGCTACGCGTGTTTATGTGTAGAGAGAAAGGCTCTCGGATATTCGAAGCAAGTCGTAAATGTTCAGCTTCCCTGCTCATTATGCTTGTTTCAGTTTCTCAGTATTTTATTATAGCCAAGGAATTAGCACAGCTCTTTTTTTCCCCTCCTAATCGGGAAGAAAGGTTGTTGAAAAGTGAAAGCAACCCCTTTTTACTCCCTCTGCTTGTAGCTTTGTGTTGTAAGGATGGCTGCACTTTTTTCGGTGGTTGGGCAGGTTCATTCTTCATCCATTTTCTATAATCCAGAGTAATGAATGGAACGCAGAGAAAGTGGCAGGATGGCTTTTAGAAAATAGTTTCCAGAATAATGAAAATTGTGTCAGAATTAAAGGGTATTTTAAAACACGTGCAGCTTTTGTGGTCCTTTCTCCCAGGAGAATTTAGGGAGAGAGACCCGGATTTTTCCCGGAAGGAAGTAGGATTTGAGGACATTCTGACAAGAGCCCTTAGGAGAATGGCTCAGAAGCATCTCAGAAGGAGACGACAAAATGTTTTTCTCTTTGCCGGGAAATAATCACTACAACTAATAAAATAATGAGACATGCCTGAATGGATTCTGTTGCTGGCTGGTAACTGCCTTACATGATCCAGATGGATTATCCTGTTTTCCTGCAGGGATTGTTCCAGGCTCGCTCAGGTGCGTCTTAGTCCCCTACGTCCAATCTCCCTGCCCTTCGATGTGTTGGTAGAATGAAAGTTTGCTCTTTTTTTTAATTAACACATTTTATTTTAAAATTGGTTAGTAATACCCCTGGAAATAACAACTTTTTTCACATTAGTAACATGTTATGAAAATAGTAGCAAGGAATCCTGCCATGTTTTCATAACTGTATTTGTTTGATGATAGCAAGTTATAGGATCTTCTTCCTCATGATAGCAGAATTTCTGGTTAAGTTTTTATAAACAAGTTCACCATCTGGCTTTGCCTTTTAATGATCTTGGGGCCTAAAAATGACCTCTTTTCAAATCTTATCAACTGTGAAAATGCTGATTTTATTTCAAATGTTAAATACCAACAGCCTGAATTTGCACTGCCTTGCTCGGTTCTCAGTGAGAAGCTCAGCGTTGTCTTGTCAGTGTTTTGTGGCAGTGGCTCCTGGGTCTGGTGGCCCAAAGATGACTCGGAGCAGAAGCGTGTCATGGAGTTCTGCCCTGGGAGTTTCATAGCTGCCGGGCGTCCTTTTCCCATCTACCCTGGCTTGCACTTTCTGCCTTGCTGCTCTGCTACGAATTGTTTGTCATTCCTTTCACGCACTTGCTGTAACACAGCTCAGTGCCGACGCTTTAATGATTATATTGGAACTTATTTCTGTATCACAAGAGAAGATTTCTTCTCTAATTCCCTGTTTTCATATCTTTTTGTATATGCTTATTTTTAAAAAGATTTATTTTTATTGGTAAGTCAGATACATAGGAAGATCTTCTGTCCACTGGTTCACTCCCCAAGTGGCCGCAGCGGCCAGAGCTGCACCAATCCGAAACCAGGAGTCAGGCGTTTCCGTCAGGTCTCACACGGGTGCAGGGTCCCAAGGCTTTGGGCCGTCCTCGACCGCTTTCCCAGGCTACAGGTAGGGAGATGGATGGGAAGTGGGGCTGCCGGGATTAGAACCAGCACCCAAATGGGATCCAGGCATGTGCAAGGTGAAGACTTTAGCCGCTAGGGCTGGGCCCTGTATAATACTTTTTTTCCTGTGTATAATTTTAACATGCATGTTTTTAAAAACACACTTCTGCCTTTTGAAGATCCTGATACTTAAAGCAATGTTCTAACTGAACTATTGTGCAACCACATATTGTCATTTTGGGCATCTCACTTAGATTTGCTGGACATCAATGTCATCAGCATCCAAAGTGATAAAGTGGGGACAGTAATATGTCTCCTGGATTGTTGGGAGAGAGCTTGCTTAAATAATACGTGTAAACTCTAATATCACGTCTCTTTAGCTATTCGCTGCTTTGCGAATAGCTTTAAAAAATGACCATCCCCAACTGAGGTCTCTATGATGAAATTAAAACACTTCTGTGTCTTTGAAGAGGCATTGTATTCTTACATCTGGATATGATAGTCTCCATTGCATCCCCTTAAATGGAAAGCCACAAAACAAAATCAACAACAGGAAGAAAAATAGAAATTTACAATGGCACATGTTGCTTAATTGCTGATGTGTCGCTGAAGAAATGAAAAAGGAATTCAAGAACCTTCTTGAAGAAATACTGTTTGACTTGTGAGTCAGTGAAGAATTTAATGAGAAGAAAAAAAAATGGAGGAAATGAAGACAAAACTTAAAAATCCACGTGTGTAGGTTCTGCTGATCGCTGCTGAGCTGTGTCTCCTTGGAGGTAGCAGAAAGATGGTTTTGTTTTTTGATCCAGTCTGTTACTCTGTTGATGAGTTTAACCTATTTACATTCTGGATTAGTATGAATAGGTGGTAATTTGGTCCTGTCATTTTAGCGATGGGTTATTCATTAATTGATTTTGTTTTCTGCTGTCATTTTCCTGGGATATTCTTCACAATTGCTATTCCTTTTCTCTGTGAAGAGAACATTTTAAAGTATCATTTGTAGGGCAGGTCTGGAAGAGGCATATTCTTTTTTTTTTTCTTATTGTATTTTTGACAATCTTTACATAGTTAATTAGGGTAAAAAGGTTCAAGGGTTATAGGAAAGTGGGTAAGACTATTATTTCCATATTGTTTCCTTCATGTATCTGAGATAAAGGGGAATATTGAGGAAGAAGCCCCACCCAGTTTCCCACCCACCCAAGGTCTCAGATGTGGGGCATGCTCTGAGATACTTGCTCAAGTGGTTTTGATAGTTCAACAGTTATGAATCGCTGCCAGTCTCGCCACTCCAAGCACAATGAGGTCATTGGAACAATCCACTGATTGACATTGTCCATAATAGAGTCTCCATTTGCCCTGTATTTCGCTGCCAACATATAGCTGAGGTGGTTGATTGACCTGTTCTGTCTTCTGTCTTTTCTTGGTTATGGTTCTGAGTCTGGCATTTCGATTGGGGAGATCTCCAAAGAAACTTTGTCTGGAGTGTTCCCAGACCAGATTCTTGTATGTAGTAGCAAGCACAGGGTCCCCCACAGTCTATCACCCCAATCAGCTGGTCGTTGCGATCACTGGGTTGGTTCTGTTTTCAGCCCCGACTTCCACTGGAACCAATGGGTGCTGCAGTCCAGCCTGGTTCTGCCTAGCACATAGTCAGCCCTCACATAAACTAGTGGGAGCTGCAGCCTAGTCAGACCGACCCACAATAACCTCCACCAGGCCCGCCCCCTACCCTGGTTTGTCAGTATGTGTAGCAGACCAGTCCAGTCTGTCCCACATCGCATTCGGCTCTCGTACATGTTGATGTGTACTGAAGCTTAGTTCCATCTAACCAGCTCAACTATCCAGCCTTCACGGATGTTGGGTGTCTGTCTAGCCACCCCAGCCCTGTCCTAGTTTTTGTGCCCTCTCGTGGGGGTGGTAACCCAAGACGGAGGAGCCCACTATTTCCCTCCCAGGTCGGTCTCTATCCCAGATTATGCACTTTCCAGGTGGTTCTGTGTTTAAACGTGACAGAATTAGCCCCCAGTGCCAGCCTTTGCCAGCTGATATTGCGGCTAAGCCCAGACAACCCTAACCCACTCTAATTTTGTTTACACCAGTAGGAATAATGAGCCCAGCCCGGCTTTTCCCTGATGTGGTCCACATGAGGCACACAGGTGTTGTAGCCCTCTTTAGTCTGGTCTGCCCCCATCCCAGCCCACGTTCTCCAGTGGGAGTATCTGTCCAGCAAGGGAAACCCCCTGAATTCCCCTGCCGGCTCTGCCCCCCCTCCCTTCCTGGTTCTCACGTGTGCTGGTTGGGTGATGCGGCCACACCCGGTACAGGTAACCTCACCTTGGCATTCCATAATATATACTAGTGTTTTTGTTATGACCAAACGTGGCTCGACCCACACTCTGTTCCGGTGCTCGGGTTTGCCAGTGGATGATGTGAACTGATTCAGCCTGGTTGCCCTTGACCCATGCCAGGTGTATGCCTGTGGGACACTTTCCATGGCCTATTCTGGGCTGTTACTTATCACGTTTCTTGCACTTACCTGCAAGATCTGTGTCCTGCCAGAGCAGTTGCCCAGGCTCCTCCATCAGAACCTCTCCCAATGCCAGGTTTCATTCTTACCAGGGGGTCCATAAGCCAGCCCTACTCAGTTCACCTCCTGTCCTAGCAGGAGCAGTGGCTTTTCCTGACTGGCCTTCAACCCAAGCTGGTTCTTGCTGTCGGATGTTTCAGCCCAGCCACGGGTTGTCCATACCCACATACGGCTCACACATGGCTAGCAGGAAATTGGAAGTGTGTGAGGGGAATTGGATTCACTGGCATGAGAATCCAGGGTTTTCCCACATGTAGGTGAGGAGTTGACAATGCATATTGTGCACGTGTGTTTATGTATTACTTTGGTGTTGCTGCACCTCTGTGTGTAAATGCCAGAAGTGTGTCTGTGTGTATGCTGTGCTGCCTCCAGTGGAAGGAAAAAGGGCTCGTAGGAGATGTCTGGCTCGCCTAGGACCGGGACAGGGAAAGCATTGGTGAAAGTGGGATGCTGCAGGAGCCGAGGGACTGTGTGCTAAGACAGGAGTTTGCTTAGAGAGGATCCTGTGGGTCAAATCTAGGATGATTGGAGCATTACGTAAGTCATGAGTGCTGGCTGAGGCTTGCTCTGTGCACCTGTGTCTGTGTATGTACCTAGACACACTGCAGGCAGGGAGCGGGGGAGACTGGGGGAGCACGAAAATAGTGAAACTACCAAGGAGGGACTTCAGATGAGCAAGGTCAGTGTAAAGATGGGGCAGGCGGGGCAGCCTGGGAGGGGGGAGGAAGGCAGGATCTGAGCCCTGCGTGGTGCAGCCTTGTGCGCCCTGACAGCCCAGAAGCAGCAGACTGTCAGAAGCAGCCCAGAAGCAGCCCTCAGTTTGTGTGTGGACATTTACAGCTGCGTTTTCCCGAGTCTTCATCCCCTAGCGGGGGAATGGACCTTGCTGTCATTTTGCTGCTCGTAGAAGCTTGGCTAACCCTTCTGGTAGCGGGGAGGGTCGTGGAGATGTTTCCCTGGTAATTTCCTGTGTGGGCTCCGCTACAGTCTGACATCAGCAGCTTTTCAGTATTAACACCGTTACCTTGGCGTGTGGAGGGGAGAAGTGTCCAGGACCTTGGGGCTGCTGACTCATCACGCTGCCCCCGTTACTGTCGGGCACACAGCGCTGTGGCAGAGGTGGGCAGGCTCAGCCGTCTGGGTTACAGGCTGTATTCCTTGTGAGATCAGAGACGTTCTTTTTTAGATGAGGCTTTCCCCGCTCCTTGATCTAGGTACACTGACACGCGTGTTCCTGAATATGCAGAGAAGAAAGTCCATTTCCGGGGCTGAGACGAGGGAGAATTCCTAGTACGCAAACGTCGACCCCAGTCACACTGCTTGGCAGCAGCCCCTTGCTTCCCGCCGCCTCCTCACAAAGCTAACCAGGCAGGGAATTTAACATTTTTTTTTTCTATTTATTTTATTTTTGTTTGAAAGGCATATTTACACAGAGAAAGGAGAAACAGAAAGAGATCCTCCATCTGCTGGTTTACTCCTCAGACGACCGCAGTGGTTGGTGCTGAGCCGATCTGAAGCCAAGAGCCAGGAGCTTCCCCTGGGTCTCCCATGTGGCTGCAGGGTCTCCAGGACCTGAGCCATCCTCCACTGCTTTCTTAGTCCATAATTGGAGAGTCAGGCCAGAAGTCGAGCAGCCGGGACTGGAACCAGAACCACGTGGGCTGCAGAGGCTGGCAGGTGGAGGACTAGCTTGTGGAGCCACTGGGCTGGCCCTGGCACTTTTTTCTTCCGCAAGAGTGACGGTGTGAGCCCTGATGGTGGGAATCTTTATATTAACTGGTGGAATTATTTGTGGTTAAAAAGCTTTAAAAAAGTGAAACTCCTCTGATGTTTTTCTGTATTCTCTATTATACTGTTTTTTTTTCATTTGCATATGAATTTCTACACACCGGAAGGAACTCAGTGTTTGGAGAAATTTACTGAAAAAAAGTTTTGAATTTAATTGTACTTATCCAGAAGCCTTAATATGTGACAAAACTTGATCGCAACTTGACTTTGATGTGTCTTTATTGCAGACCCGGAATCGATTTGAAGGCACACGATCGGAAGTGGAGGAGCTGATGAACAAAATCAGACAGAATCCCAAAGAGCACAAACGAGCCAGTCAGTTCACGGCAGAAGGCTACCTGTATGTGCAGGAGAAAAGTAAGCAGCGCAGACTGTGCCCGCGTGGGGGCTCGTACGTCCACGCCGCGCACACAGCTGCTCTTCTCTGTTTCTTAAAACATCACATCTCTCTGTGGTCAACAGTGATTGCGTCTAGGTAGGGAACGTGCAACGCCACGTTTCAGCACGTGCGTACACGGGGTACTGATCAAATCAGGGTGATGGACATTTCCCCTTGTTTGCCATTCCGTCGTGCCCGGAGCCTCAGAGCCAGCAAAGGTTGCTGAGAGGACTGGAGTGGTTGTGAGCCATGGTCATTCCACTGTGTAATGTGAGGAGCTTACTTCTTCTGTTTATGTTGGCTCCGTCCTCTCTGGTCCTTCCTTGCTTTCCCAGGGCTCTGGCAGTTCCTCTATTCGAATAGGTGGTGGTATTTGTCTTGCTGTGTGTGGCTTATTTAACGTGATGCCTTCCTGTCTTGCCCATTGTGCTGGTAGATGACACCACTTCATTCTGTTGTGTGGCCAAGTACTATTGGTCCCTTGTGTGTATTTGCTTCATGTTCTTTATTTGCGTGTTGATGGGCGCCATAACTGATCGCATACTTTGGCATTTGTGAACCCTGCTGAGGTGAACTTGGTGACACAGAACTCTGTCTTGCTCTCTTGGAGGATTTTAACTTTTCTGAAAGGCAGAGTCCGGGGAGAAACTGGGAAGGAGAGATCCTTTCATTCTTGGTCACTTCCCAAGTGGCTGTGATGGCTGAGGTTGGGGCAGGCTGAAGCAGGGAGCCATGAACTTCATCTGGAGCCCCCACATCGGTGAACGGGGCCTGAGTACGTGGGTCACCATTTGCTGCCTTCCTAAGAGTGTTAGCAGGGAGCTAGCTGAATTTATTATTCCTCCCCCTCCCCCACATGCTTGCTGTCATTTGTCCCCCCCCCCCCCCACTTCTTTCTGTAGTTGCTGTGATACCCTAGGAGGTGATTCTTCATGCTTTCCTTGCCCTCTGCTATTCTGGAACATGTGTTTTGTGTGAGGTGAACATGTTTCTGCTCTGGAGTGGGGCCCTGTGAGTGGAGGATGGGCTGTGATGCCCTGTTCTCTCTTTACTCTGCCCACGTTGTGTCCCCAGGAACCTGCTTGTCAGGGAGCAGTGGCAGAGTTCTCCTGAGGCTCCTGTGCCCTTGCTCCAGCCCCGGACAGCACCTACATCTGCATGTTCAAACCCTGGCCTTCCCCAACCCTGCAGCCTCTTCATGGGAGCCGTTGGGTCTGGGGGCTAGGGGCCCAGGCACATATCTGCTCATCCTTCAGGACAGTCTTGGCTTGTTCTTGCCAGAGACATGAGCAAGCTTGCAGAGGGCTGCCAGCAGCATCTAGAAAGGGGCCTTTGTTTAGTCGTGGTACGAGTGACAGTGCAAAGGAAGTCCTTGCTGAGAAGAAAACACGGGGCCCCAATCTCGTTCTGAGTTACAAGAGCTCTGCAAGTTGACTTCATCAGGCGTGGGACCTCCCTGGAACTCCGTAGAAATGGTGGGAAGGTGCAATGCCTTCCTTCCCATCTTCCTCCCGTCTTGCCTTCATAACTGTGCGTAGTGGGCTGTAATGTACACTCTTCATGCCGCTAGTTCATCGTGCTGGCGGCCTGGAACATCAAGCCAACCAGGTGGCTGCGGAGGATACCCAAGGCCCAGTTACGTGGTGTCAGTTCAGAATGGCAGTTGGTATTCTGTGCAACGGGCAGGGTGGCTCAGCTTTCCCGTTTGCTCTCAGCTTCATCTGCAGGCTCACTGTCTTCACTTGGCTTGGAGAACTGTCATTGAACATGCAGCACTCCGGGTTTCTTTCATGCTTTGTGTTTTTACTCCCATTTTTTTTCTTTAAATTGAATTTGAAAAAGCTAAATTAAAATCCAGGATAGAGTCATGAGAGTGTTGTCATTCTTTGCATCACATGCCCAGGTGAAAATCACAGGCAGCTTTAATTTTGACATTCATAATTTCAAAAATCATTTTTATTTCTTTGAAAGGCAGTGGCACTGGGAGAGACCGGGATTGCTCTGCCATCTGTTGACTCGCTTCCCAAGTGCAACAGCTAGGGTAGGGCTGGGCGGAAGCCAGAAGCAGCGAGTTCTGTGTGGCTCTTGCACGTGGGTGGCAGGGACTCATGTCCTTGTGCCATGACCTGTGTCTTCAAGGGTATGTGCTGACGGGAAGCTGGGATTGGAAGCACAGCTGGGACTTGAACCTGGGCATGCAGGTATCTCAAGTTGTTTCTTATCTTTTTTTTTTAATCCTTTAAATTTTAAATTTTAATTAGGGTGGGAATGATTGAGGGTTAGGGGAAAGTAGGTGTGATCATTGTCTCCAAATTTTCCATTTCATCTTCCTGTATCTGGGGAAAGGGGAAGCAAAGGGAGAAGCTATATCCAACCTTGCAACTGCTCCAGTACCCAGGGATGGGGAACGGCCTCCCAGCGTCAACCTATGGTCCCGATGTGGCACATGCTCTCATGGTTCTGCCCAAGAAGTTTCTGTAGTTCTGAAATGCTCTGAATCTTGCTGATCCAAGGGTGAGGGAGCCCTTCCAATGTGTATTGGCTGACACAGTCGACCTTAAAGTCTCTGTTTGCCCTGATTTTGCTATCATTGTTTGGCTAGGGTAGTTGTCCAGTGTGCTCTGTTCTCTTTCGTCTGCCATGGCACCAGATGTCCTCTGCATGCTCCAGTGGACTGCCATATCCTCCACGTGTACTGCTTCATCTCCTCCACTGAGGAGGACAAGCCCTTTGCAGGGTGGGCCTAAGGACCCAGGCCAGGTGAACTGGGTTCCGCTGGACTCCCCACCCCTGGGGCTTCCGGGACCCAGACCTGGACTACCACCCACCATGGTGGGCTCTCAAGCCATTTCTTAGCTGCTGCATTAAGTGCCTGGTTCTGCCCAGGCCAGGCCAGAGAACGGTACCCAGCGGCATACATACAAGGCCAGTTCACATCACTCACTGGTGAATCCAAGCACCAGAATGGAGTGTAGGTTGAATTGGGTGCTGGCTGGGCTGGGCTGGGCTATATCCCCCAGCATCCTGAGCTGGAGTTAGGAGTAGGCCAGGACAGGCCAGGCTACAGCAGCACCCACTGGCAAAAGCTGAGGGTGAGGCAGGCCATGCCAGACTGGGCTACAACACCCAACCAACACAAGAATGACCTGGGGTTGGAGGCAAAGCTGGTAGGGGGGTGAGGAGGGCTCCCCTGCTGGACCACCACTCCCACTGAAGAGTGTGAATTGGGATGGGGACAGACCAGACGTAGCAGAACTACAATATCTGTTGGCCTCGTATGAGCTGGACCAGATAAAAGCCAGGCTGGGTTGACTGGTCCTGCTGCTACAAGCTTAAGTCAGAATGGGTGTTGGTTGGTTGGGCTCTACTGCAGCATCAGCTGGCAGATGATAGCATGGGATACTAACTGTCAAGTCAAACTATAGACCCACCTGGAGAGTCCATGATCTGGGAGTGGGAGTGGGCTCAGTAGAGAAAAATGGGTACTTCCTTCTTGGATTGCCACTGTGTCTGGTGAGCATGAGAACCAGGACTGGGGCAGGCATGGCTAGACAGAGTGGCACCTGTCTGCAGGTGTGGGCTGGATAGTGGGGCTGGTTGGGTTGAACTAGGCTTCAATGCCCATTGGCATGTATATGAGGTGGATGTGAGACAGACTGGAACAGTCTGTGGAACATATTGGCAAGCATGGGAACCAGGGCAGGGGTGGTCCTGGTGAGGGTTACTGGGAGTTGCTCCAACTAGGCTGCAACTCCCACTGGTTTACATGGACAAGTGTGTGGTGGGCAGGATTGGGATGGGCTCCAACACTCATTGGTTAGTGTAGAAGAGGAGGATGGAGACAGAACTGACCTAGCAATTGCAACCACCAGCATATGCATAGACTGATAGGGGCGACAGATTGTGCCAGACCCTGTACTGGCAAGCACACAAAAGAATCAGGTCTGGGATCACTTCAGACAATGTTTCTTTGGGGATCCCCTCAATCAAACTGCTGGACTCAGAACCCCAACCATGAAGAGAATTGCAGGTTCCATGGTCTGCCCATGGAGTGCATGTGTCAAAGCTGAGCCTATTCAGTGGCTCAGATGGAGCAGTGGACAGCATACCCAGGTGCACATAGAGGATATGGCAGTCCATCGGAACCTGCAGAGGACACTTGGTACTGCAACAGAGGACAGAACAAATCAATCAACTACCCCAGCCACGTGTTGGTAGTGAAAATCTGGGCAAACGGAGACTCTAAGGTGGACTATGTCAGCCAGTGGATTCTGGAGAGATTTCATTGTGCTTGGAGTGGTGAGATTGGCAGCAATTCAGAACTGTTCAACTATTGAAACCACTTGAGCAGTGCCCTTCAGAGACCCTGGGCTGGTTGGAATGGTGGGTGGGGCTTCTTCCTTTGTCTATATCTTTCCCCCACATACAGGAAGGAAAAAGAATTTGGAAACAATGGTCTTACCCACTTTGCTCTAGCCCTTGACCCTTTGAGCTTTAATCAACTATGTAAAGATCATCATCCAAAAAAAAAAAAAAGCCTGCTTCTGACTTGTGCAATTGAGCTTTGAGAAACTGAGCTAAAATCTAAATGGGGAAAGACAACCAATAATGGCAACATTGGCAAAACTCTTCTCTTGTTTACTGTATGCTTGGCACTGTGCTGAACTCTGTCCAGCTTTCTTCATGTAATAACCTCTAACCTATGAAGTATAATGAGCTATTCACCACTTCCCAGTGATGACATGGGGGCACCAGGTGTGAAGTGTTATTCCCTCAATCACAGACTAAGTTTGTGAATTGTATGTCTGAGGCAGCAGTCTAGGTGGGCCTTGGGCACCCTCTCCTGTACGTGGCACAGGCTGGGATGGGTGTGAAGGAGTATTCTTAGCCTCTCAGAGAGTAACATCAGATGGATGGAAGGAGTGCAATTGGAGGGGAAGTCCTTGCACTTAGGGGCCAGGTGTGATCTGAGCTTTGGCTTTGCTGTGCCTGAGGCATTTGGCCTAAGCTTCAGTTCCTTTGGGTTGAGAGATTGTCATCTCTTTTTCAAGGTCTTTTTCTTTGTGTGAATTATGGTAATTACACAGTATTGTGGACACAGCGCCAGTGCTAGTTATGTACAGTATACACCATGGTGGTTCCCAAATTCTGGCCTTTGAACTGATGATCTGAGATGAGATTTCCTCTGGTTGAGTAATCCGTGGCCTATCCTGTCCACACTTCCAAGAGAAAAGAATGAGTTTTTGCAAAAGCTAAATGCATTCTTTTTAAATATATCCTTTCCAACAGTTTGTCCTTTCTGACTTCTAGGTATAGAAGGTTGCTTGGTTTGTATGTATGTGAAGTCAGGGTGATCTTAGAGGCCGATTGTTTTTTTTTCCTAAATCTTGGTGAGAAACACTGTTAAATCGTGTTGAGACTAACCTTTGGTTTGTTAGGAGAGGCTTCATGGCAATGCCATTCCAGGTGCTGGGCACACCTGACTCAGGTTGCTGTGACCCTTGGGCTTGAGTGATGATTAACACTGACTTGGCAAAGTGCGATGGGGATGCCGAGAAAGTGCTAATGTCTGCAGGGACGGTTCACTTCTGTGGAGCCCTGGGATTCCTTGTCTTCACACTTGCTTGACAAAGCTGAGGGCAGTCCCATACCAGGGTGTTGTCCGTGGCTTTCAAGCTCCAGGGGCATTCCTGGACTAGGTGCTTTTTGCAGCGCTGTGATTCTGCGGTTGCATCATTTTGAGCAGCCAGAGTTGAATCGCAGATTATGACTTAAGTGGGTGGAACCGTTGGAACCCTTGTGAGCTCTTAAGATCTAAGAACAACCAAAGCTTAAGCCTTTAGTTAGGAGATTTTCCAGTAGGAGATAACTGTTTTCTAGAAACTGAAAAAAACAAAACAACAACAAAAAAACCACATTTGAGTTACAGCTGCATGGCTGCAGATGTGTCAGGAGCTTGGCTCGGTGCCTCGGTGGGCTTTCTACCTCTTCTAGCGTTCCCCGGGTGTTAGAGCTAGCATTGTTGTTGACTCTTTGATAGAGCTGTGGTAGGTTGCTGCTGGTTGGGTTTCTCTTCCTTGGTAACGTGTTTGCAGCTCAATCGGCTTGTTTATGAGGGAAAACACACAGTTCTGTTTTTTTTTTCCTCTTGAAGGGCCTGCTCCGTTTGGTTCCAGCTGGGTCAAACACTACTGCATGTATCGGAAGGCTGCCAAGAAGTTCAACATGATCCCATTTGAGCACAGATCTGGGGGCAAGCTTGTGAGTATCGGCCTCCTGCTTGGCAGTGTATGTGAGGGCAGGGTTGGCAGGCATTGGCAGCCTGGCTTATACAGGTTGAGCACCCCTCGTCTGAAGTGCTCCATCATCTGGAAGTTTGAGTATCTGTAAGACTTCAATTTCATCCAGTGAAATTTTGCTTCTTGTGTAAAATTATGAAAAATGTTTTCAAAATTACCTTCGTATTGAGTGTATTTGTTGTGTATGAAATACACATGAATCGAGATTTCATTGTCATGTACAAGATCCATTCCAACAAATATTTCAAAATATGAAAAGCTCTTGGTTTCAGTCATATGGTTTGTGTTTGTTAAATATGGAAACATTTTATTTTTTGAATTAAAATTGTCAATATAGGCAAAAAAGAATACTGTTTTTCTGAATTGCATGCATAGGTCTTTAGTTATTTATTTATTTTTTTCTAAAGAGGTCGTAGAAGCCTCTATCTCTGTTACTGGGGAGTAATACCTGTAGTATATTGTTTTGATTTAGGCTCCGAGTTTCTACAGGAGATCTGAGTTGCATGTGTAGAAACCTCAAAACTTGATACAGTGGTCACTAATGAATTGTGTTGTTCAGTTACATGCACCAAGTTCTGAGATAAATATTGCCCATGGAATTGACCACTGGTTCCCCCCAAATAAACACAAAAGCAAAGCATAGCAGGGAGTAAGGAAGAGGTATACCATACGTGTTTGCTGTGTAGGCAAGCAACCTTAATTTATGTTTCAAACAGAGCTCCATCTCTTAATGACAGTCATAGAGCTGGAGAAAAAGCCCTTCAAACTAATACTGAATGTAATCTGTAACAGTTTTTTAAAAAGTAGATCCATTGTTTTCTTTGTGGGTGGATATAGCTCTGTTAATTCTGTATGAAGAGAACTCAGGATTTTGTATAGGTGATTACAGAATTTGCTTCACTTCTGTTGAAATATACAGTAGTACTTCAGAAAGTTCCTGGACACTGACTGTAATGCAAGTTCATTGTGGTTCAGAAATGTTTTTGAAATCCATACGTACAAGAGCTCTCGCATCATGTCAGGCGCAATTAAACATACCAACAACTAGTGTCATACTGCGTGGAGGAGGGGGGAAGGCTTCCTCTTTGAGATAGGGTAGAACGGGGATGCCCAGTTCTGTTCAACCTAGTACTGAAAGTGCGTACCAAGCCAAAGAGAAAATCCAATGGCATCCGCATTGGAACTAAGGAAGTCAAATTGTCGTTTGGCGGATGATCTATGTGGAAGATCCTCAGGTTTGAGAGCAAACTAGTAGATCTTACAGGTGAATTCAGCAAATTATAGGATACTTAGGCAATGTGTGAAAATTGGTTGTTATGTACCAATAATGAATTACCTGAAGAATGAAGAAAGTGGAGCTTGATCTTGATTAGCTGCATAGAAAATTAACTTGGAATAAATTCAATCATCGAGGTGAAAAAGCTCTAAAATAAAAACCAGAAAGTACTATTGTAAGTAAAAGGGAGGACATGAAGAAATGGAACTATATCCATTAAGTTTTTGCATTTACATGATCCACAGATGATGCTATATATATATCCAAATGGCCTCTGGAAGAATAAAGGTTCTCCATCCCTTAAAACTTCCCTTGAAACTATTAGAAGAAAACAGAAGATGCTCATAGAAGGATTTTTATTTTCTTTTTTGATCAGATGCTAAAGCACAAGAAGCCAAAGTAAAATATAGACAACTGTGATTTCAGCAGACTTAAACACTACACAAAAAGGAAATTATTTGGAAGGTGAAGAGGCAAAACACAGAATGGCAAAAATACTTGTAAGGTTTACATCTGACAAGGAATTAATAGCCAGAATGTATAAGGAACTCAGTGCAGTAGCAGTGAAAGAATCCCGTTAAACTGCCAGCACACTGCAACGGACATTTCTCAAAGGCAGACAGACAGGTGGCCAACAGGTGCTGAAAGACAATACTCAGGGTTAGCAGTCGTTGAAGTGCAGACTGAGGAGCTGTAGCCCCACACCTGGCCTCAGGCAGAGGAGAACAAGTGCTGGTGGGAATGTAGAGAAGAGAAAACCCTTGCACACTATTGCTGAGAACATAAAATCAACTACCCTATGATGTAGCAGCCCCACTGCTGGGTCTGCATGTGAGGTAAATTGAGTCACTCTGTTGAACAGACACTCCTATGAGTGTTGCGGTATGGCTCTAACACAGTAGCCAAGATGTGAAAACAACCTGGGTTTATGAATGGTTGAAGTGGAGTATGACTCATGGCTCAGAGGGATACAAGCTTGTTTGTCGCAGCATGGATATGTCGGGGGATCACTGTTAATGGAAATAAACCAGCCACAGAGATGGAAGTACCACGATCTCAATCATTAGTGAGATCTAGAAAACTCTGGCTGTGATGAGTAGCAAGAATGAGTTATCAGAGACTGGGGAGGCATGGAGGAAGATTGCTTTGTGGGTGCCGAGTTATAATTGGGGGCAGGAACGTGTGCTGTTCTGTGGCAGACTAGGATTGCTGCTGATAATGTGTGTCTCAAGCAATTACAAGAAAGGATTTTGGATGTTTTTGCTGTAAGAAATATTCAGTATTTGAGGAGACAGATATGTTTACTCTGATGGGATATTACACTGTATGTGCATGCATGGGAACAGAACATGGTGGCACATAAATACATACGGTTTTTACGTGTCAGGTAAAGACAGAATAAGATGGAAAAGTGCATACTATGAAAAAACAAAGCATTTCAGGATCGTTTTTCCACCATCGTTTTTCCTTCCCATTTTACATAAATGCTTTGAAGGACACTCACTTCTTCCTGAAAAGAAAAAATACATCAACACTGCATTTCTTGGCAGCATGTTTGCACAATAACAAAGTGACCAAGGATGATGAGAGTACCAGAGAAAAGTGGGAGCTGAGGACAGCCCTCCTGACGGCTGATGGACCTGTGCCTGAGAACGAGGCTGGAGTCTGAGTTTCCTGTTGGAACAAATTCGAGGCCTAGGATATGTCTGCCTGGCAGTCTCGTAGAATTTGAACTTCCCAGTGATTGAAAAACACACATAGGCCGTAGCTGTATTTTGAGTACTTGCCTGTTTTACTATTACATTAACGTTAGAGAGCCTCCTATCCCAGACGATGTAAAATGTTGTTTAAGTATGTAATGATTCTTGTGGTTCCGAGTGCTCCTGTACTGTCTCCTATCTTCTACCATGTTTCTAATGATCTTGTTTTTTTTTTTTTTCTTGGAACACTTTTTTCTCTAATGATCTTAAAGAGGATGGTGTACCAAGATTAATGCTATCATTTATAGAAATAAGTGAGAAAATCATGTGATTTGCTTAGGGAACGGAGACGGATGCTTCCACTGTTTGTCGCTACCACAGAGAGCTAGGGCCATTTGTATATTTGTAGGTTGTTCTCTTTGGAAACTTCACTTTTATGGTCCTAAACAATCATGTAGTGACCGTAACTCATAGTTTGATGCAGTATGAAGCCAAAATAGGTTTTCATTTTTGAAAGAGCAGGAGAAAAGAATAACAAACATTTTAGGAATAAGACACTTCATTTGATAATCTATCTTTTAAAATGAGAATTACCAAGGTCCTGCCTAATACTGTTAAAACTGGAGCAAGATCTAGAAAACCGTAAGAATAGGAAGATGGCAGCCACAAGTGGTTAAGATTTTAGATTTTTAACAGTTTCAAGGAGAAAAGGGTAAAGAGAAAGGATTTAAAATCTTGAACCTGCATGTCTCTATTCCCTAAATCAGGGTTGGGGGGCATTTGATGCTCACTGTGCAGTTGCTGAGAGTGTTCACTCTGCTGCTTTGCAGGGAGATGGGGAGGTGTTCTTCGTGAAGGAATGTACCAGAAGGCATACCGACTCCATTGACAGAAGGTTTTGTTTTGACGTAGAAGCTGCTGACAGGTAAGTTATTAGAGTGATAGGCTATCCATACAGAATCGTATTTAAAATTTTTTAAATGAAAATACAGATTGGTTGCAACTGTGATTTTTGCAGGTTTGGGAGAATGACAACCTTGTTACATTTCTAGTGCGTGCATTCATTCTAAGCGGTTTCATCTTGGTCACCATGTTTGGCTGTTGGGTGATAAATAGATTGATCTTGACTAAGGTTTGGAGTCGTTGTAATCCGTGTGATCACTTAAAAGAATAACCTTGGAGCCTTTTTATTGTTGACCAAAGCCTGGTTTGTGGAACACTGAGTCGAGGATGGTGGTAGCTCCCACTGCAGAAGAATGTTCATTTTCAGATGGAAGTCTTTAGTGTGTAGGCTGAATGCGTGGAGGATCCTAGGCAACGTTTGCCTACTTAAAGGAATGATTAGCTACTCTTTTCTTATTGGGTGATTTTCATTTTTTTAAGTTATAAAGTAATTTGTATTTGAGAGGAGGAAGTGAAAGAAGTAAAAGTTTGTCTTACCCCTTGTCTGGCATCTGTTTCAACATCTGGGAATAATGTGAAGGAAAATCTTGGCACTGAGAAGACATTTTTTTTTTCAGTCGTGGACAGTGTGGTGATTTCTTACCTGATCTGGTTGTCTACAAAGGTTGTTAGTTAAGTCTGCTCCTGTCTGGAGAGGAGAAACTTACAGGATTTTAAAACATGAAAGATCAGTAAAGGGTCAAAACTCAGGAATAAAAAAAGTGACTGCTGCTCTCTCTCTTAGGATATTGGTGAGTGTATGTTTTACTTCCCAATAAATGAACTGAAGACCAGGTATGTGCAAATGTGCCCTCAGGTGTCAAGGTACAATAACACCATCCTGGAAGGCACAGATAGAGTAATTACTTTCCCAAAGCATGGGGAAAAGTGACAGAAAGAAAACATCAGTATGGAAGAGGCTAAATTTCAAGCCCATAAGAACTTGTTGAGAAACTTTGAGATCTGCCACATAGAGCTTGTGTGTATACACATTTGCACGTACCTGGTCTCATTCATTTGGAATTCTCTCCACCCTGACTTTGGCCCCTATCTGCCACTGCAGTTGGTTTTCTGAAGCGCCTTAGGATTCTCCACATTACTGTGTCCGGCAGTTAATTCTCAGTGCTCACGTTCTTTGCTTGCAGTGTCCTCTGATATGGCCCATCACTCTCTGCTCTCTAATAATGCTTGCTTCGTTTGGTCCAAGGACATCACACCTCCTTGGTTCTGACCCTGTCTCACTGTTTTATTCTTTGCTTTTCTGTTTTAATGCTCTAGCTTTGTTTCTTCCTTCCTGGACCTCTTGAACTCAGTGCTTAAATGTCTGCCCTTTCACAGCCCATTATGATCTTGTCCAGCCTTATGTCTTCAAGTGCCACCTGTGTGTTGGCAACTCAAATTTATTGTCTCTTCTTGGAACATCAGGTTCCTTTATCTGGCTCCCTACTTGGGGTGGCTCTTGGGATGTCTGCTTAGGCCTTTCAAACAGAATAGAGGTAGGGGCTTTTGATTGGTGTTCCTGACTTCAATTGACAGAAATTCTTTGGGAAATGTACTTTATTGATGGAATCTATCATTTAGTATAGCTGTAAAAATACGAACTTACACATTCTGGTATTTTTTTCTGATGTAAAACATGTGTACTTTATTAATTTTTCTTAAAGCTGTTAGATTTGCTTGGATGAATGCCTTCATTTATTCGTGAAGAAAATGAATCAAAATGTTTTCATGACTTGGAGTCTTCAAAACTAAGCTATTTTGTTGACCTTTGTATTGGATTTATTTCTTCGTCTTTTAAATAGGGAAATGTTTATTTAGTTTGCTTTAGTCAGTTGATAGTGTTTGAGGGGACTTGGGTCCCTGCCATCCTCTCTCCCTGCCTCCAACTCATCAATGAGTTGCTGTTGGTTGTCCATTTGAGGAACAAAAAATGGGCAGTGGGTGAGTGTACTCTGAAGTCTCTAATTCTGGTAAGTTTGAGTTCTTATTGAGGGAAGATAGGCTCTTATCTATTTCCCTGATTCCTGGTGAGGTAAAGTGCTAAGAGCTGCAAGCAATTTGTTCTGTGTCTGTCAGGCTATGAATTAATTCCATGGCGGTAGGAATGCTGGCTTACTTAGTATAACTTGGTTCTGCAGTACAAATGTAATGCCTTATATATGGTGGACATTGACCACATTGCTGCTGGATTACATGAAATTGAGCTGTTGCCTGGAGTGACAGAACTGGGATTAGAATTAATCAGGCAGCTGCCAGACAACCGTCCTTTTCTTGTGTGCTGCACTGCCACAGCGGGAGCTCAGTGTTTGTGCTTTGCTTAAGCAGCAGCACAGCCAGGTCTGAAGGCTGCTGCTGTTAGTAAGGCGTTTGTGATGGTGTTTCCACAGAGCTCCTCCGGAGTACTGTCACACATCAGCTTCGTATGCGGGGGCACATGTTTAATATCAATATATTTTGCCACATTTCCAAGTATCCATTGTGCGATCATCTTGTTAGAAGTGCGATTCCCATAGCATTGTGCAGGTGAGGCTTGATAAGCTGTGTGTGGGAGCTGGGCTTGCAGTCAATCCATGTGGATTTAAACCCAGAGCTTTCCCTTCATTAGTTCAGATTGCATTTGGTGGTTTGTAACAGAACATGTCAAAGCCAGGTGGCCCAAACAGTGTCCTAGTTCATATTCTGTTGTGTTTGTGAAGGCCAGAGGTGCCAATGAGGCTGGATAGGAGGCATCTCTGTTGGATCCTGCTTGTTGTTGGCGTGGTTTCCCATCCCCTGTGCCTCAGATCCATGCTCTCTGCTCTCCTTTGTCGTAAAACACGTCTGTTATGCTCATGTAATGTTACTCTGAACACACAGTTACCTGGTTACACCTAGTCACAAGGGAGACTTTTAAATTCTGAAATGGCAAATTATTTTCCCGTTTTCAGACATCCATGTGCTCGACTACTAGGAAATCTGTAGAGAAAGGGGAGAAGGCTGAGGGAAGGGAGCAGTCAGCTGTCCCTGGCTGCTGCTGAATGCTCCTTAAGTAGATGTGTGCTTCGCTTTTCCCCCTCTCGCAATTCACTAGAAGGTTCCTTTGGCTGTATCCTTGGCAAAAAGGCAGTATTTTAGAACACGTGTGCAGAACACTTTCCAAATGTTGAAAATAGAACCTGTGATGTGGGAGGAGTCTAAAAAGTCACATGTTTGATAAGGGGCATGTTTCCACAATGCAGAAAGATTTTTTTATAGCTCAGTAATAAAGACAAATTTTGACAGACAGAAGATACAAGCAAGACAGTTTTCTAGAGCAAGTAAACAAGTAGTCAATAATCTCATAAAAAGATGTTTAACATCATTAACTGTTACGGAAATGCAGACCAAAATCATAGTAAAATGTTCACAGAGCAAAAAGTTAGATAATAACGAGTGTTGGTGAGGGTGTGGAAAAAACTCGGAGCCTTCATGCACCAAGGCTGGGCTTGAACAAGGAATTGTTGCTTTGGAAAGTTGCTTTCAGAAAGTTAAATTTAGGATTGAAAAATGATTTAGACATGGCTGTTCTTAGCTGTATGTTCAAGAGAACTGAATACAAAGGTCTGTCCTAGAACATGAACAGGAGAGTTCCTGAGGTGATATAAATGTTCTAGGATTGATTTTGGTCATGCTTACACAAGTCTATAATATACTAAGATGTTGAATTATGTACCACTTATTGGATAAATTTCATGGCATGCTTTAGACTTTTTTTTTTAAAAAAGGGAACACAGCTACAAATAGTGAACTACAAAGCCTTAAATGACTATAAATACTCCCTTCTACTTCACGCCAGCTACATTTCGAATCCCACAGGCTGTGAGATGCTCTTGCGCTCATGCTTGGTCGTCTCTTGTTTTCTCTGTGGACAGCCGTAGCCTGGGAAGATACAGCTTTCTTCTCTGGAGGATGAAATACCTGCCTCTGAGCGCCAACAGTCCTGTTATATAACCTGCTTCCTGCCTCATTGGCGTGCTTGTCACATGCCACACTGTGCTGTGACCCCCGCACATTTGCTTGATAAATAATTACCATTCTGTTGAGGCTCTCCCACACATCGCATTCAGGCACTGCATAAAGAAAATGCTTCCCATTTTGCTTTCATTAATTTGACATTTCAAAATTTATATTTAGTTTGATTTTTGCCTACTTCTGGTGTATGACTCTCGACAGCAAGATGCTTCTTACTCTTATAATCTGTCCGTTTGTATTTTCACGATGAGGAGGGTAGAACCTCTTTTTCTTCAGCATCAAGCACTATAGAGTGCTTTGACATTAAACACTTGAGCCTCTAATAGGAGTGTTCCAAATGTTCATGAAAAACACATATTGCAAAAGCATTAAAAGTAGCTTAAAATTATTTTAAAAATCTGCATATGTAGATTTCAAAAAAAAAATTTTTTTTTTGCATCAAGGTGAATGTTTGTTTATTTAAGAGACCCTCAAAGATTTCTTCCATGTGCTGTTTAATTCTCAGATGCTTGCAACTGCCTGGGCTGGGCTGAGATCAGAGCTGGGAGCTAGGAGTACAGCCCTGGTCTCTCTTGTGAGGGTTAGGAATCCAGTTACACGAGCCATCACTGCTGCTTCCCATTTCTGCATTACTGGAGGGGTTGAGTCAGGGTCTGGGAACTGAACAGGCTCAACCCCAATTCCCAACACTTGTTTTTTTAAGAGGTAGAGATAAAGTGAGAGAGCCAGTGTGTGAACTAGCAAGAGCCCAGGACTGTGTTCTCCTACTTGCTGAATCCATTTACAAAATGTCTGCAGCTGTGGGTTCTTAGAAGCCAGTAGTTGGGAGCTCATTCCAAGCCTCCCTCGTGACGGGGATTATGCTTCCCAGGAACCACACAAGCAGGAACCTGGAATTGGCAGTGGAACCTAGGCACCCACGGAGGGATGGGTGTCTTCACCTGTAGCTCCAAAACCTGGCTCCGGCCCACTCTTTAATTCCATTGTTTCCAT